AACCTGGTAATGTTATCTTACACAGCACAAGAGATTTTGAAGATGTGATTAAGGATCTTGAGATCGGAGATTATCCCAGTTTATCAGTGAGCCCCAAATGTACTCACAAGCATCTCTGCAAGAAACAGGCAAACGGACATGAAACTCAAGATAGAAAGGACCACGTGCCAACAGTGGGAGCCAGGACAGATCTCAAGCTATCGTGCTACCCACAGGAGGAAGAAGGGGCCGTGAACCAAGCTATGCAAAGGATACAGCTCTCTATACAGCCAGGGATGCGAGGAAACAACGGCCCCGTTCCTGCACAGGGAACCAGACCAGTGTCTTGCTTGCCTCTGGCCCAGTGAAGGTGCTTCCCACTTCTGGCCTGTACGGCTGTAAACGTGTTTGGGTTTACATCATGAGGTTTGTGGTAATTACTTATTACTAATGCATCACCCTGAGATGGGTAATAAGAGCATCCCAGTCAATCAGAGTGGTAGCTCCCAGACTCGGCGACTTTTACTAGAACAAGAAAAAGAGTCTGAAAGACCTAGAGGACGAGGAGGCCGTGAATTCTGAGTGCCAACGCTTTCCTCCTGGTTTCTGCACGGAGACGGTCAGCCCAACAGCAGCGGGTAAGAGGAGAGCTAAAGAAACAGATGATGGTCTTTAAGGCCCTAAAACGGATGCATCTTTTTGAGCTCGGGGTTGCAGGACCAATCATTCTGACTTTTGCTTTGCCTGTATTCGGGTGAATTTCTATGACTTGCAACTCAAAAATTCCTAACTATAGTTGATATTTTTGTTACTCAGTTCCTGAAAACAGTAAAGAACAAAGTGGCACCTGCAGCATCTCAGGGCGCCCTTGAGACTCGGAGGTTGGAACCCAGGCCCGGCAGCCTGTGGCCGGGATGCTCAGGGTCGCGGGAGTTTTACTCCACATTCTCCAAACAATCATGCCGGAAAAGCAGGATCACTAAAAACGAGATAGTTCTAAAGTCTGTAAAAGGAAGAAGAGACATCGTTGACCCAAATAGGATGCTTGAGAATTCTGAATAAGTGCTGTAAACGCTTATTAAAAAATTCTAAGATGCTTAATTGCTCAATACATGAAATATAAACATTCATTATGTTACTCTGAGAGTTCTTTAATATGTAATGGGGGAAACCATTTTATCAAACGCACTGTAAGTAATAAATGCTTATTTCCTTTCTAAAGCAAATCAATTCTTGAAATCATTAACCACCATTTAAATGCGGCTTTCTTCCCTTCTATTTATTCCCTTCTAATTTTTTCTCATTAGTGGAGAAAATAGGTCTCTCCTCGAGATACGGCGTCAGAGTAGCAAGGGCATGAACGGTGAAAGGACTTGGACCAAGAAGCCTTGGCCTGAAGTCAGCCTTGTCATCCTCAGCTCTGTGACCGTGACCAAGTCACATACCCGCCTTTGGTTTCCGGGGCTGAGGGGTAGGTTGGCACTCACCTCTGGGAGCCACTGTGGTTCTGTCACTAGGTCATAGGATTGCTAAGGCAGTAGCTGCCTGGTACAACACATACTTTTATGTGTTATGTCTGCAGTCAGAAAGGCAAAGACTCAGTATTTCTAATAATGTCCCAAAGCATGGCAAAGTTATTGGGCCGTGCTGTCAGACAGCACAGATTCTCGGCACCTGCCACCCCAGTGATTTCTTGTGAAACAGCTTCCTTTGAGGGCAGCAGGCCACCGACGGTCGCTGAAACCCTTGCCATAGATGTGACAAGTCGAGGTTATTTCTGACCCAACCCAGGCCAAAAGAAAGCCTTAGCTGCCAACCTGGAATTTGAACAGGGACAGTCATTTATTCACTCAGCAATTTTTAAAATCTCTGTGTCAGAAACTAGACTAGGTAGAAGAGATGCCCTATCAATAAAATGGGCGTCCACACTGATGGAGCATTTATTCCACTAATACGCAAGGTAAGAGATCATCCCAGACAGGCTAAGTGCTGTGCAGGGAGTGAAGCACTTCAAGGCTTCAAAGAGAGGTTGGGGGCGCCAAACCCATCCTTCCGCTCTGACGGTGACCTGGAGTGGAAGATGACGGCACAGCTGGGGTCCTTGAGGGATCACGAGGAGCACAGCTTTCTCTCCTCCTGCAGGCTGAGCTGCACGCCGGCTGGGGTGAGGAACACAGTCGTGTTGCATAAATGAATCGGCATTGTAGGGCTTAGTATTTTTTATATTTTTTAATTTAAATTTATAGGTGTGATTTGGGTGTGCAGAATGACCTTATTCATCACAGGGAACCGGCATCTGAACAAGACATATCCTGTTCCTCTTTTTTTCCATTCCGACCCCGTCTTTTCAAGCCCCCCTCCCCTGCCTGCTCACAAAGCTCAGTTTTCCCTTCATCCTTCTCATCCTTCTTTCCCGTCCTTCCTGTCCCCCTCCCCCTGCATTTCCCTTTTTCTTTTGAACAGTTTCTTCCCGTTTCACAATATTTATTATACATTTATGTTCTTATTTATACTGTCAGTTTCGCACACCATAGAGATAATTCGATATTTACACGTGTCTGATTTATTCATTTATGATTACAGTCTCAAAGTCCACCCAATTAACTATAAATGTCTCAATTTTATCATCCTTTATGGCTAATACTCCATTATATATATATATATATATAATTTTTTCTTTTTTTGTCTTTTTGAGACAGGGTCTCGCTATGCAGTTCAGGCTGGCCTTGAGCTCAATTTGTAGCCCAGGCTGGTCTCGAACTCACAACAATCATCCTGCCTCAGCCTCCCGAGTGCTGGGATTACAGGCATGAGCCACCACGCCCAGCTCCATTATATTTTTTAAAAACACACCTTTTTTATTCATTCATTGGCTGATGAGCATTTGGGTTGTTTCCAAGATCTAGCTATTACAAATTGTGCAGCTATAAACAGGTGCACATATATCACTGTGATATGATGTTTTTCATTCTTTTGGGAAGATACCCAGAAGGGGAATACCTGGGTCAAATGGGACCTCTAGTCCTAGTGTTTTGAGGACTCTCCACACTGATTTCCACAGTGGCTGCACCAGTCTGCACCCCCACCGCCCCTCCAGCATTGTTATTGGTTGATTTCTTGATGACAGCCATTCTTTCTGGAGTGACATGGAATCTCAGAATCACTTTTATTTGCATTTCTCAAACGACCAGTGATATTGAACATTCAGGGCTCATTAAGGGAGACTGCAATTTCTACTATTAATTTATACAGTTGTTCAACCCTTTCTGAGATTCTAAAAATTGTGATTTTTAAACTTACATTAGCTGGAGTTACTGTCTATTGCTTGAAATTCTAAAATTTTAATATCAGCATCTGTGAGAATTTGGTGAGCTAGTGGGTATGAAAGTAATTGCTAATGTATGAAGCACTATATTCCTGTAAGGAAGCCTGATGGCAAATGGATCTCTCAGAAATGCACACACTGTCTGGATTTTATTAGTGGGGGAGAAGAAAATGAAATAAATATTGCCATGTAAACTCACACCCAGGTCAGGCCAATGCCTTTCCTGGGTTATTTCTATCAGAGTTCTTCTTCAGACTTTTACAAAATCAACTCACCAAATTCTAGTGGAATATTACAAAGTTTGTGATTTTCCATTAAAATACTGTTCATCTTTTGAAAGAATCCTTGGTGGTGCAAAAATATTAACATTTAAATTCACCACTTCCCATGTTTATCAACACATGGGAAATCTGGGTGCCCTGTGAGGATCCTGGAATTGTCTGCAGACAATCTGTCCTATGTCCTGCATCCTCGGAGGGGTCTCTTTTTCCTTGGCTGCTGTTCTGAAGAGCATATTGCTGGTCTCCCACCCCGAGTCCCTTCTCCCCTCTCTTCTAATCTTTGGCATTGGGCAGCCACAACAAAGCCATACCTTAAGACCACCTGGCACAACCCTGTCTCCTCTCCTAAAAATTACAGCTGAGTGCCAGACAGGCATGAAAGCCAGGGTCCTATTAAAGGGGCCAATGCCAAGGACGTGGCTTTCTTTCTCTGGCTTTCATTTTTGTGTCTGACGCCTTCCATTTGTCCTGATGGCTTTGTGTTCTCAGAGACAACAGAGTGGTACAGACTTAGTTCCCGTGAGCCTTTTTGCATATGAATGTGGCACCTGTTTTATTGGTAACAGCAGGACATGATGTCAAAACCTCCATTCTTTGAGTCACCAAAATAAAATCCTGCCGTTCAGGGGTCCAATCCACAGCACGTGTTAAGGGAGTGGGGTGCACAAAAGGTGTGCAACTTTCTTTTTTTTTTTTTTTTTTTTTTTGGTCGTTTTCGTTTTTATCGGCACCGGGGATCAAACTCATGACTGCCTGCAAGGCAGGCGCTTATGCCGCTGAGCTAAATCCTCAGCCCCCAAAGTGTGCAACTTTCAACAGAACCACGATACCAATAAGGATTGAAAAAGAGGCCCTCGAAGAATGCCAACCTTCCTCTCCACTTGGCTTTTAAATCCATGGTTCCTTCAGCAACAAAAGAATGATCTTGGCGTCACTACATGCCCAGCAACCAGACAGTAGAGCCAGACAAACAAGGACAGTCAAGGTCACAGGAAAACCTATGGGCGCACAGGTCCCACACAGACATGGCCACTCAGAGGTAACGGACTTTAAAAGATACTATGGAGATGAAAAAAAAAAAAAAAAATAGATGCTATGGAGTAAATATTCAGTGGTCAATAGAGACATCACTCATCCATCCACCCATCCATCACCCGCCCACCCATCCATTCACCCAAAGCAGTACTGACTGTGCTGGTCAGGGCTGCACTCAACATTGGGGGTACACAAGGACGGAGGTGCAAGTGTAAAAGCAAAAACTGGAGGTGAGCGGAGCAGTAGAGGTGACCCTCAAAGGGTTGCAGCCACGCTGGAATACAAGGGCCTGAGAACCAAAGAGAAAATCCGCCACCCCAACACAGGTGACATAGAGACGCCGAGCCCTCCGGACTTCCTAGAGAGGCCCGGAAGTGGCTCCAGGAGGCCGGTCTCACGCCGCTGGCGTCCGTGCGGGGGCGCTGGGTGGCACAGGAGGTTTGGACCGCCGCGCCTGGGGCAGCCCCGGTCCTCGCCGTCGCCGGCCGCCGCAGTGAGTGCGCCGGGTTGGAGGGTGACAGGTGGCGGCTGCGGGCGTGGGACGGTAGCCGGGCCGCCCGGGTGCCTCATTCTCTCATTCCGGGGTGCGGGCTCACCGTGGCCCTCTGCTCGTTGCTTCCTTGGCTTTTAGTTCGGTTCGGTTCGGTTCGGTTCGATTTTTTCCCTCCAAAGCAGTGGTCCGGCTCTCCGCACTGAGTCGCCAGGCCTGATGCCCGACTTGCCTTCGCATCGCACTTCGGGGGAAGAGGCGACCTTGCCCCCCAGGGGTGATCAGGATCCCCCCTCGCCGAGGCAGTGTGACATTTCCATTTAAAGTGCATCGGTTCTTGGGCGGGGGGAGCTTGCAGTGCAAGTGAAGTTTAGAAGACTTAATGGTGCCGAGGTGCCGGCCCTAACAGTGATCCAGGAAGCGGCGAGGTGACCGTCTTGTCACAACCCTGCTGTGAGGCTTTGTATTTTGCAATAGGAGGATCCCCTGTTCGAGCCCAGCTTGGGCAGTTTAACAACTTAGAGTGATCATGTCTCGAAAAATAAAAGCCTGGGTTGTAGCTCAGTGCGGACTCCTTGGGTTCAATCCCAAGAACTAGGAAACAAAAAAATAAAATAAATTAAAAATGCCAGGTTAAAAGGGAGGGCGGGATTCCAGTTCAGCCACTTTTTTTTTTTTTTTTTAAAGGCAAAACAGAAAAACATAAAAATGCTACAGAATTTCCAAAAAAAAAAAAAAAAAGGAAATTAACACTAGTTAATATATTGCATACTGTTATCTTAGGAGTAGTTCAGTTTATAAGATCTGGGCATTAAAAACGACCAGACAATGACAGCACAGACTGTCGAGTGTGGTTATCTGTCTGGTACACATTTGTGAACAAGGCTTTTGGGGTCTGCACTGTTTTCTTCATCTGCAGAATGCTAATGATAGAATAGCAACCTTGAGATTTGCCTGAAGCATAAATGGTGAGTTTCTGAAATGCCTTAGCCAGGGTGTCCAGGGCTACTGCTATCCGCATTTTAGGGAGGAAGAGGCGGACCAGAGAGGTTGTAATGAGTAGCCGGGGTCACACAAGGAGCTGGTGGAAGGGGCAAGTTCAGGACCCAGATTCTCTGACTTCCATCTTAGCAGTCAGTGCGGCGTTCCACATCCCTCTGCCGCCTGGAAGGATATGAGCAGCTCCTCGCCCGCTGGGAAGGGGGAGGACCTCTGTGGGGTCGCAGTAAGTGTTAGCCAAAGCACATACAGGGCCTAGGGGAGCGCAAGCAGTGGAGGCACAGGCACCTGAACTCCAGTGGGTGTGTGGATCTCTTCTCCCACTTACTATGCACGGGACTTGGAGGTAGTCAGTTTGTATCTCTGAGCCTCAGTGTTCTCTGTAAAACAGAATCAGCAATTTAGGTTCATCGCAAGGGCTGCTGGGGGATAATTTGTGGAGAAAGCCAAGCACAATGCCTGGCATAGAGTATATGCTCAGTAAAAGGCAGCTGATGCTACTCACATGTGTGGAAGTGGCGGGCACACTGACCTTCAGAAGGGAGGAAGCCCAAGTGCTGGGCTCCTTGCAGCTGTGGTAGAAAGGGACCCTTGAAAAGCTTGCTCGGGGTCCATCCCGTTTTGATTACTGCCTGATGTTCCTTGTGCCGACGGATATTCCTAGAGAAATAGTCTCTCTCTGCTCACATGGCAGTCTGGAAACAGGTGCGAAGTATCAGTTGTAAAACTATTTAGCTCCTTTTGTCATTGTCATTGTGAAGAGTTGCAAGGACCTTTTGTGCAATAAATGTGTGGGTAACTGGACACGATGTGCTGCAGCCTGGTGGTGGCCTTGATTTACACAGCTGCCCCACCACCCACAGTTACAAAAACCGCCACCCACAGTTATGGAAACCATGAACACATGCCAGCTTCTGCTTTGCACCCCAACCTTTCACCCAGCACTGTGCTTGGAGCTAACTTCCCGAGTTCAGCCTTTGAGGTTCCTCTCCATTTCGCCATCTCTGTCTCCTGCATCTTTAATACTCCGAGTGCCCAAATGAGTAACTTCTCACACCATGAGTGTAATCCCGTCAGCGTCAGCTCATGTAAGTCCTGAGCTCCCACATGTTTTCTGGGGCTCCACACACTAAGAACGCAGTCACCTCTTACCTCTGGCCAGTACTTCTGCAGAAAGCTAAAGCACCCAGTCACAGGGTCCTGCCACCCCGAGGTGCGTTTCTCTTCCTCATAGTGCAGAGAGCCTTGCTGTGTTTTCCTGAAAGCGTGTTAAAAGTTGGTAGATGCTCATGGCACCTCTGTTTTGCATTCCTATAATGCCAGAGGGTTGGTAGCACCGAGGCTTTGCCTCCCAGCGATGGAGGAACTGTGTGCATAATCCAAGCTTCTTATTCCTCATCCCTAGCATTTAAGTCTTTGTAAATTGAAAGTACGCCTAGTCATCTTTTATTAATTTCTGCCCCTGACTTCCCTCCGGATGTCAGTTCTATTATCCTCCCTTTACCTGAGCATTCTCCAGAGGTCAGGCGAATTTGAAATTTCATTTTTTCCCTGTTTGTAATTAAGATTCGTTTTCTTGATGGTGTGCTTAACTTTAACCTCTTCTCGCTGAAGTGACCGCTCAGGTCAAACACAACCCTCACTGCCCCGCCAGGAAAGCAGTTACTGAACAAAGCCACATGTTAGAAGAGACTTCAGACTTTGCATTATAAAGGCGGGTCTGAGTGCAAGGCCAAGGAAGGAATCCAGAGGGAATAATTAGTAAAATAGAAACCATGACCTGGATGGATATGGGGGAACCGGTTGAAAAAAATGATACCGTTTTTCTTTCTTCTTGCATATTGTGAGACTTGCCTGGTGTTTGCTAACATTGTTTGTTTGATTGGCTGTTGTTCAGGCCTGGGTTGAACTGTGTGGCCCAGGCTGGACTCAAACTCAAGATCCTACTGCTTCAGCTTCCCAGCTGCTGAAAATCGAGGCATTTCTGGTTTGCTGAGGTTGATACAGGAGACACGGAAGGAAACCATGGCCGTCTGTGGGGCTGTGAATGGCTGTGCCCTGAGGAAGCGTCGTTAACCTGGACGCTGTTACGCTGTGTTCCTCGCTCTCTGTCACGGAGACAGAATACTGACCCAGATAACTTGAAGGAGGAAGGAGTCACTTTGGGTCCTCATGTCAGAGGTTTCTGTCCGTGGCCAGCTGGCACCGTGGCAAAGCAGACACATCAAGGGGGTGACCTCACGGCCACCAGGACGCAGAACTGGAGGGGAAAAGCCAGAAGAAGGGGGTGGGGCAGGGTGTGCTCTTCAGAACCAGGCTTCTGCTGAGCTCCTTCCTCTGGCCGGGCCCCCTCCTCTTCCCGTCACCTCCCAATAATGCCATCAATGGACTGATCGACTGATGAAGTTGGAGTCCTCACCATTTGGTCACCTTCTGAAGCCCCACCTCGAACATGTGAGGTTTCGGGGAGACATTTTAAATTTAAGCCAGGACACTGCTAGAATCTGCTGGATTTTCATTTTCTCATTCTGACCTCTTGATCAGGTCAGTTGGACTATCCAGGAACTCGTTGGCAGCTAATGAGGGGTAACATCCATAGCCTGGCAGGTGTTCTGGGGCGCTGGTAATCTGCATTTGCACATTCCTAACACGATCAATGCTCACATGAGTGGGAGTGAGCTGCAGTCCTGTGACTGCACTGAAATGTGTGATTTGTTTAAAAAAAAAGAATAATTATTTCTGTTGGAATTTCTAAAAACTGCGTTCAGGGAGAACTCATCCGTTTCCTAGCTCCGCTCTGGTGGAATTCTTGTAGTGCGTTCATATCCTAGACCCTGTTACTCAGCATTGTGTGAGTTACAAATCTCTTAACTGGATGAAACGTCTCCAGAACCTGTTTTTCAAGTGACACCTCTGACTTCCTTGAGCTTCCCCTGGACGCTGCCCCCTGCAGCCTCGTTCACCCTGGTGCCAGCTGAGGATGCTGGTGTTCAGTCCCCACCAGTGGCCTTCTGACACAGATCCTAACCACCCTTCACCCAGACTCTGTCCTGCCTCCAGCCTTCCTCTCCCACAGCGAAACTTTTTCTTCAGCATGGACCAACGGTTCTTGCCAGTGCCCTGGCATAAACCTCCAAAGCCTCCTATCGCCCACTAAATGAAGTTCACCCCCCTTCCAGTGCAGGCAAGGCTGCCTCCAAGCTGACCCAGGCTGTCCCTCCCTGTGTCCCAAAGCCCAGCTGGACGCCGTGGCTTCAGTGAGTCCCAGCCATAGTGCACGCCCCGTTTCACTTGCCCGACACGCCTTCCCTGGGGTTCTTCCATTTAGTGGGGTGTACCTTCAAGCCGGTAGTAACTTCCCACTGCCTCTCACCCTTCCTGAATCTTCCTGTGACTCAGGCTCAGCTCTGAGCTCACTCTTCCGTCTCTTCATCTGCCTGTCAGAATCAGCGTCCCTGTCCTCATTCCCAGTGTTCGCACAGCACCCGTTTGCACCAGCTTGGAACAGTAACCAGGTTGTTACTTTCTGGCTTGTGTGAATGGTTTGGGTTTTAAATGTTCCCCCCTCCCCAGAGGATCTTAAGCTAAAGGCTTGGCCGCCAGCCCATGGTGCTGCTGGGAAGTCGAGGAACCTACAGGAGACAGGGTCTGAGGGAGTGTTAGGTTGGTAGGGGCTTGAAGTTACTATCAAGCTACTGTGATAAAAACAGTGTACTGCAAAAAAAAAAAAAAAAAAAAAAAAAAACAGACCCGAAGATCAGTGGAACAGATTAGAAGATGCAGAAACAACTGCAGACACACTAAGTCACCTTATCTTTGACAAAAGTGCCAGATACATCCACTGGAAGAAGGATAGCCTCTTTAATAAATAGTTCTGGGAAAACTGGCTGTACACATGCCAAAGATTGAAACTGGACTCATCCCTTTCACCAGGTACTAATCGAAAATCAGAATGGATCAAAGATCTTAACATTAAAACAGAAACACTAAATCTTCTGGAAGATAGAATAGGTAAAACTCTTGAAGACATTGGTGTAGGCAAAGACTTTATGAGTAAAACCCAGATTGAACAGGATTTATCACGAAGAATCCCCAGTAGGACCTCAGCCTACTGAAAAGCTTTTGCACAGCAAGAGAAACCACCAAGAGTGAAGAGACAACCCACGAGGTGGGATAAAATGTTGGCCAGCTGTTCCGCAGACAAAGGATTACTACCGAGAACATGTAAAGAACTCAAAAAAAAATCAGTCCTCCCCAGTTTAAAGACCCAATCCAAAAATGGGCATCTGAGATGAACACACACTACTCAGATGAAGAAATACAAACAGCAAATAAGTATGTGAAAAAATGTTCAACATCACTGGTCATTTGAGACATGCAAATTAAAACAACACTGAGATTCCACCTTACTCCAGAAGGAATGGCTACTATCAAGAAATCAACCAGTAACAAATACTGGAGGGGCTGTGGGGAAAAAGAAACGGTCCTCCACTGTTGGTGGGAATGTAGACTCATGCAACTACTATGAAAATCAGTGTCGAGATTCCTCCATAAACTAGGATTGGAGGTCCCATTTGACCCAGCTATTCCCCTTCTGGGTATCTTCCCAAAAGAATTAAAAACATCATATCACAGCGATATATGTGCACCCTTGTTCATATCAGCACAGTTTGTAATAACCAGATCCTGGAAACAACCTAAATGCCCATCGACTGAGGAATGGATAAAGAAGATGTGGTATTTTATACAATAGAGTACTACTCATCCGTAAAGAATGATAAACTGGACACTTTCATAGGTAAATGGATGTACCTTGAGAACATACTCATTAGTAAAATGCATGCATGTGTAAACAGTATTATTTTATTAATGTGAAAAAATGAAAGAAAAATCCTATGTATATGTGTATGTATGTGTACATAAGTGAATGGTTAAGATAGTTACACTGCTGGTTTCTCTGAATTCGCTGAAAAGAAAGGTTAGTCTTGGTATTGTTCGGAAATTCAGAGCAGATGTCTTGTGCTCTGGGTGAATGATTTGGGGATTACAGTGTGCAATGTATGTACCATTGTTACCCCCTGATTGACATACTTTAAACTTTTATTGTAGGTTTTCTTCTTTCTTTCTTTTTCTTTATTTCTGTCTATTTCTTTCTGTTTGAATAAAATGGATTTTTTAAAAACCCAAAAAAGAGCTAAATGTTTTGCATCACCCTCTGGGGCAAAGCAAGACATCGCACAGTTCCTGCCTGTTTGTTGTGCTTTTTCCTGTCCTGCACCTGGCTTCACATTCACCCCCTTGGTGAATGCTCAAGTCCTCCTGCGTAGCCCCAGCCCACACTGCTCCCCCAAGCACCTGGCTCCACACTGTTTCAGGGCTGTGGGCAGTCTCCCTGCGTGTGTGTGTGTGTGTGTGTGTGTGTGTGTGTGTGTGCATCCCCAGTGACTTTGAGGACTTGCATGCCTCCAGGTCCAGCTCTCCCCTTACCTGGAAGGAGGTGGGCAGCAGGCTGGTGCTCGCTTTGCTTTTCAGAGATGCTGGAGTCCTGAGAGGTCCGGGGTTAGTGAAGAAGGGGAGAGCAGAGGGTGCCAGAACCACCGAGCACTGGCACTTGAGTACTGGCAAGGCTTCAGGGATGAAGGCCGCGGGCTGCTACCTGAAGGAGTTTCCCCCTCTCTTTCTAAAATAAGTATGGGGTTAGTAAGCCGTACCAAGTCGTAAGGTAGTGAGCCACCTTAAACAAAAGATGTGGGGAGCTTTCTTTCAGGTTCTTCCTTTGATTTTCTGGAGCATGGGGGGAAAGGCTTCTCTCTGCCAAATTTGAATGAATTCTTTGCAAACCTGTCCACTCTTCCATGAATTGACAGCACTGCCTTACATCTGAAAAGTGCTCTGTGGTTTGGAGTGTATCACCGTATCTTACCTTTGAATCAACCTCGTCAGATGGGACAGATCCTCCCTTCCCCGTCCTGCATAAGGAGAAATGCGAAGAGCAGTGGCTGGTGTCACACAGCTGTGACCAGAGCCCAGCTCTGAGGCCTTGTGCCCTTTTTGTTTTCATCGTTGTCCTAGCATGAAGCCCAAGGCCTTGCTGTGCCAGGCCAGCGCTGTGTCTGAGCTGCATCCCCAGCCCCTTTGTGGCCCCATGAGCTCATCGCAGGTGGAGCGTGTAACGCCGTGTGCTTCTGTCTCCCAGGTTTGGTTACCTTGTGATCACCACCTATGGACGCGCAGAGGTCTCCGAAGGAAACGGTCCTCATTACAGGAGGAGGTGGCTACTTCGGCTTCCGGTCAGTGCGTCCATAGGCTACACCCGTAGAGTTATCTTACTGGTGCCTGTAGTGGTTGGAAAACATTTTCTGGTAGTGTTAAAGCAGAAATGAACAACTGACCAAATGCTGAAATTAATATTTTCCATATCAAGAAAAATTCTTTAGATCCAACCAATTAAGGAGTGACAGACACATCACTGGATTTAAAATAGGAACTCTGGGGCCAGGGGTTTAGCTCAGTGACACAAGTGCCTTCCTAGCAAAGTGTGAGGTCGTGAGTTCAATCCCTGGTACCACCAAAAAAAAAAAAAAAAAAGGAACTCTTCTTTCCCAGTGAAAGTCACTGTCATTTCAGGAGACAAGAGGATTCTCAGTTTTACAAATTCATAAGGTCTGTGAACTCATAGAGTTAGAGACTTAGCGGGAGGCAGAGGCTTGGCTCGGCCACGCGTTGGTGAATTCTTTGTTCCCTGTCCTGGGCACCCCGTAAGGGTTGCCTGCTCTAACTTCTGGTGGTCTCATTTCAGCCTTGGCTGTGCTCTGAGCCAGAAAGGAGTCCGGGTGATTCTGTTTGACATCAGCAGCCCCGCTCAGAACATCCCCCAGGGAATCCGGTTTGTGCGCGGGGACATCCGCCGCCTTTCTGACCTGGAGAGGGCCTTCCAGGACGGGGACATTGCTTGCGTGTTCCACATCGCCTCTTACGGCATGTCGGGGCGGGAGCAGCTGAACCAGAACCTGATTGAGGAAGTCAACGTGGGAGGCACCGACAACATCCTGCAGGCCTGCTGGAGGTGGGGGGTCCCCAGGCTGGTGTACACAAGCACCTTCAACGTCATCTTCGGAGGCCAAGTCATCAGAAATGGAGATGAGTCCCTGCCTTACCTGCCGCTCCACCTGCACCCTGATCACTACTCCCGGACCAAGTCTATTGCAGAGAAGAAGGTGCTGGAGGCAAACGGGTCTCCCCTGGGGACGGGAGGGGACGTCTTGAGAACCTGCGCCCTGAGGCCAGCCGGCATCTACGGCCCCGGAGAGCAAAGGCACCTTCCCAGGATAGTGAGCTACATCGAGAGGGGCCTGTTCAAGTTTGTGTACGGCGACCCCAGCAGCCTGGTCGAGTTTGTCCACGTGGATAACTTGGTGCAGGCACACATTCTGGCCTCCGAGGCCCTGAAGGCTGCCAAGGGCCACATTGCCTCCGGAAAGCCCTACTTCATCTCAGACGGCAAGCCAGTGAACAACTTCGAGTTCTTCCGGCCCCTGGTGGAGGGCCTGGGCTACACGTTCCCGTCCACCCGCCTGCCCCTCACCCTGGTCTACTGCTTCGCTTTCCTGACCGAGCTGTCCCACTTCGTCCTGGGCCGGCTCTACAACTTCCAGCCCTTCCTCACCCGCACCGAGGTTTACAAGACGGGAGTCACACATTACTTCAGCCTGGAGAAAGCCAAGAAGGAGCTGGGCTATGAGGCTCAGCCCTTCGACCTGCAGGAAGTGGTGGACTGGTTTAAAGCCCACGGTCACGGCCGGAGTCCGGGAAACGGAGGCTCCGACTTTCCTCTTTGGACCTGGCTGTTGGTCCTACTCTTGGTTCTGTCCATTTTCACCTGGCTGCCACCTACCGCGCTTCTGTCGGTGTGAAGAAAGCTGGAATAAGTTTCTGATCACACTTGCTAGAATGATTTCCAAGAACTCAGGTTTCAAAATATACACCATGTGATCTGGTACCACACTTTGGCTTTCCAAATGACTACTTGATTAAAGTTTGATTGAAGTTTATTCTTCTTTCTTTTTTTCTTTCTTTTGTTGTTTGTTTGGTGCTGGGGATCAAACTCACGAGCTCATGCTTGCCAGCCAAAATTTTTCTTCTCTTGTTTTTCCAGCTGATCTGGAAAAGGAGAGACACAGATACGTTAGAAAGTTGCCTTCTCATGTCGTGTCTTAAGTAAATGCCACTGAAACCATCTGGAGGCTCCAGAGAGAGGCTCAGTTTAATAGGAAACTGCTTGACTACCTCAGAATCCAAAAACAGGCTTATTGCTGTTTCGTACACACTCCATGAACATAAACAGACAAACTGAGACTGATAATGGGAACCGTGAGAGACTAACGCCCGCCGGACTCCTGACAGGCCGAGCCCCAGGACGGTGGCCATTGCGGGGGAACAGGGTCGTGCCCAGTGCAGTGTCCAGGATGGACTTGCTCGTCGTGATAAAGAAACCTGCATGACCACATTGGAAACTGAAATCTAAATAGCTGGACCTCTCTCCTGCTTCCTAGGCGCACACAGGTCATTATAGTTAGGAATATTGTTTACATTCTGTACGAGGGTTGCTACCTCAAGTATTCTCCTTAGAGGGGCTGTTGCCTCTGGACTTGCTGGAATGTCTGGCTGTGCCCCAAGGATCTGCCATAAGACGTATCCACATTCCGGCCTCTGAAGATAGACTGAAGTTTTAAGAAACATCTGAAAACTCGAAGGTGATCCAACAAATGATGCCTTTTAGTTAAAAGGCACAGTAACTAATACAGCGGTTTTCTGACAGGGGAGAATTTGACTCTGATAGCAGAGAAGGCAGCCTCCAGGAGCAGCACATCCAGTCACCCTGAGGACTGACACGGGGGATTTTCAGGTTATGTGGTTTCCCAGGAATCATAGTGGACAAGAAGGACAGTCATAGTGAACGGGAGTCATAGTGGCCAGGAAGGGCAGGATTGGAACTCGCTGGGATGGTTGCTGTGGGCGACTGCTAGAGGTCACCTGGGAGCCCCTGAAAACACAGGCGGGCAGTCCCTGCTGACCACCGCCCAGAGGTCCTGGGAAGGCCCCAGCTTTCCCAGGCAGACCTGCACTGTGATGATTTTGTGCGACGTTAACCAAGTACCTGGGGGCTCTTTGAGGTTTGTTTTCCTCCTCTGGCAGATGGGGCTGGCTGGATTTCCCCTTCCCGTGAACTCACCAGCCTCAAACTGTTTCTCCTGAGCTTAAAACAAGATGCAGTGACTAAGGTGACAGCAGCTGGCTACAGAAACAACTCAGGGCTTGCGTTACTTTGCACACCTGTACCTGGTTGTCTGTGCAACTCTTTAGGGGATAACAAAGTACAATATAGCAGCTATTGTTGATTTCCGACTGTCTTTTTTTGAAATCCAAGATCATTCTCATTGTCTTGTTCTGTGTCGTTTTATTGTTTTGTTTTATTCTCTTTAAAATAAATTTTAAAAACCCAAGGTGTGGTGAAAGTGCTCTTAATATGTGAACTGCAACATTGATAAATACAAGGCAACAGTGGTCATTGTTTTCAAGAAAAATGTTTTGCAGTCTTTTTGATCATAAAAAAGCTTTTGCTGAGTCTTTGCCAGTCACGGGCTGTGGGGGCAGAGGACCTGGGACCTCACCAGGAGGTGTCCCATCTGGAGAGGAGCACCGTGCACCAGCTGCTCCCGGAGTGGGGACGGCCACACCCAGCCCCCTGGGAGAGTCAGCGCCATTCCCAGACTGCATAGGGGAGAGAGCTAGGCTTCCCCAGGAAGCAACCCCAGCCAGGAGAGCAAATCGTTATTGTTTTGTTGAGCTGGGTTTTATTCTCTTTGGTTTTGTTTGATTATGTTAAATCTGATGGTATGAGCAGCTCTTTGAAAGATAAGACATATGGTGGCCATTTTGGACTTACCAGTGGCTTATTTTGAAGTCTTTTATTGCATTCACTGTTTGGGCTTCATTGTTTCTATTCTGTCCTGTTTTGTTCAGTTTTTACTATGCTGAACGATCTGCAGCTATTTTGAAGACAATAAAAGGCATTATGGTAACTATTGTTGGTTTCGTAAAGTTTTGAAGTCCTGTATCACTTATACTGGTTTTTTTTTTATTGGTTTTATTTTCCTTGATTTTATCCTCTTTAAAATTTAATTTAATTTTTTAAGAGAAGCTTTTGCTGTAGTTTGGGGTGACTTCTGTGAGCAGCCCCAGCACATCTCAGCACATGGAGCGCTCTCGGAGCTGCCCCTGCAGCTTCAGGTTCCGAGTGAAACTGCATGTCCCCGTGAGGTCCTCAATCCAGATGGGAGCGTCAGTGAGATCCACTGGGAAACGTCTTCAGTGGCATCCTGACTCTCGGGTACTTTGTACTTTTTTAGACCAAAAAGGACTGCATGTGGCAAGGTGTTCATTGTTGGCTTTGGGACTTTTTTTTTTGCCTCAGTAATTATCTAAATGAAATTTGTGATCATAGTACGAGCTTTATTATCAGCCTGTGTGTGACACACTCACCCACTCCCCAACCTTGAAACACGGTTTTTTCTCTTCCCACGAATTCACGCCTCTAATCTTTCTATCATCAGCTGAGTGTTGTTACCTAACAAATCATCCCAAAACCAATGCCCTAAGCAACAAGCAGCATCCCGGGTTTCTGTGGACCAGAATGTGGGTGCAGCTTTCCTTGGTCGCCCGTGGTGCTCATCCCATGGGGTCCATCAGTGCTGCTGCAGTCAGCTAGAGTCTCTGCTGAAGGTACAGGATCCACTTCCAGGATGGTTCATCCGGGAGTGCTCTGTCCCTACCACCCGGGCTCTCTACAGGACAGCATGAACCCCTGGTTTCCCCAGCAGGTGATCCAGGTCATCTGTGTTCCCCCTGTGCCTCTGCTGACCCTGATGGCTTGAAAGGACGTCACCTGAGGGGGAACTCCCTGCTGTGTCAGTGGGGCTCACTGCAGTGGCAGGTTTAATCTAAAGTGCACGTTATAAAGGACCTACAGTGTAGGGTGACAGCAGCCACCCGCAGAGTCAGGGTGGAGAAAGCAAAAGGGTCATCAGTGCTGGCGAGCTAGAAGGTGTCCCAGCCTCTGTTGGGACATGACACCCGCCAGGTCACAGGGCCGGTTGGTACAGCCATGCACTCAGCCATTCTCACACCCCCTTATCCCACCTCACCTAAACCCATCCCAGCAACTCCCCTGCCCTATCCATAAAGACCCAGCTCACAAAACGGGACTTGGACTCTGGGAGGTACTCCAGGAGGTCCCTCCTGAAACCCCCCAGTCCAGGCGGCTGTGTTCTTGTATGAGATCACCACTGTTCACCCAGCACTGCACATCCGAGGTGAGTCTTCCTTCTGCAGTGAGTTGAGCGCCCAGACACACCCAAAGCAGTGATGGGCTCTTCCACTAGGTGTCCCTTGTTCTAGTTGACACCACGAGTAACCGGCACACTTTGCGAGGTCAGATGCTGCTGCAGTTGAGGCATTCCATCAGTTCCAGGGTTTCCTGCCGGCCCCTCCTTGCCTTCCTCAGCCTCAGTCTGAATCGCCCACAGGTGCACACAGCGTGCAACGCTCACACTTTCGCACATGGAGGCAGTCCCTGAACCCTGGACACCAGCCACCCTGGCCGGCTCGACTGCCTCCAAGGAGCAGCACCCGGGAGGGAGCCAAGGCCCACTGGAGGAGCAGGACCCAGAAGGAAGGAGCATGAGCCACGTGAGCACAAGAGCCTTCTCCTGGAAGCCAAAGGCCGTGTCCTAGCTGCCCTCTGCACGAAAGAGACCCGCGGCACACGGAGACCCTGGTGGGATTCTCAGTGCTGCTTCTGGTCACAGAGGCACACAGCACCACATTACGAACAGTACCTGTCACTGGGAAGCCAAACGGCTGGTTCTGGCACCAAATTACACAACTGATGCTCTTGCACAAACCTGGGCTGGGACTGTGATCAGCAGTGTTATTGTCTAGGTCATCTAAAGGTGTTACCAGGCAGCCAGCACTGCTTTGTCAGAGATGTAATTGGATCACTGACACCTGTTGGGGCCTCTCCTGCCTTACTGTCCTTTCCAAGCCCCAGGGCACCTGGCCTTAGAGAAGAAGGCTGCACATTGTTCCCCAGCCACAGCCCCAGTGCACATCTCTGGGCCCCAGGGGTAACAGTGTCCCCACTGACTGGCCAGCAGTTTATGTCTTATTAAACCCCTCACTATCAGCCGACATCTCTTGCTTCAAAAATGATCCTGCTCTGGTAGTTCCCAGCCCTCCCAGGAAAGGAATCCTACCCACAGGCCTGGCCAAGCAGTAGGAGTCCATCCTGGCTGCATGCCTTGGGCCTTGAGGGACCATTCAGCATCCTCTATTGAAACCTTTCTCCCAGAGCCCTCTAAAGATGCTCTCCAGGACAAAAGTGTATGTGGGGACAGACACATACTATTGCCATGGTCTTCCTGTCCTGAAGGTGGGGACTGTTGGTTCTTGAGTTCCTGGAATCTCTGTGTTAAATCATAGCCAAGAAAGTGAAACAGAGATGGTCCTAGCTGGTACCACCATGGCTCCGTGACCTAGTTGCCTGTGCTGCCCTGTCCACCATCACCAGACCCAGGGAGGCTCAGCATGTTTTCCTTGTTGCTTGAGGTGCTTTGAGTTGGGTTTTTCTCCAGCAGTTGGAAACACGGGCTCTACCATCCATAAGCATCTGTATGCAGGTGAGCACACCTGTGCTTTGCAAAGAGTCACCCCCTGTTCAAATCTGTGCCCTCTTACAGAGGGGCCCCTGTCGGCCTTTGGGTGACATTTGCTGGCATTTTTCTCCCTGAATCAAATGAATTGCCTTAAAATCATGTTTACTTAAATTGTGTTTATTCAAATCATGTGTATTTGGGATCTGTGTGCTTTAAGCAGTTGTAGTCAGGGTTTGCAAGGATAACAAGAACACGGGACACATAATTTACAGTAGTATTTATAATACTCAGAAGTCAAATACAGGAAATCCATTCACACTAAGGCCCCCGAAGAGTTCAGCTGAATCCCATGGTAATATCCTGCATGGGTCCAGCTGAAGACCTAGAGCCCATGACAATGCCTCCCGTGAGTCCAATGAGTCTAGAGCCCATGACAAGGACTTACAAAAGTCTGTTTCACAGATCTGCACTGGGAAAGCCCCAAGGTCAATGGTGAAAGCCAGAAAGTCTGTGCCAGGTGGATGAAGGATCTGTGCCACTAGGCTGAAAGTTCTACACTGGAGCCAAGAAACGGTGCTTAAAATAAGGACCAAAGCTTCCCCAAAAAGTACCACAGCCATCCTCAGCGACAATGAAGCCCTGAGCTCCTCTGATCATGAGAACAGCTGAGTACACATCAGGAAGCCAGAATGACAGCCTCCTCTGGATGTTAAACAGCACACATCTTCCCCTCCAGAGCCAGGAAGCGATGCTCAGTGTAAGGACCAGAGCTGCCCCAAAGTGAGCCGCAGCCACTCTCCACCAACAAGGTCCCGAGCTCCTCTGACGATGAGAACAGCCAAGATTGTTGTAACCTATATTAAAAAAAAAAAAAAACCTCATAAGTCTCCCCAGAGACAAGAGAAAGATCAAAGGTAACTCTAAGAGCAGAACAGGATTTTTTTGCCTAATCTAAACTTGCTTGTTAGCCCACCTGAACCTTGTTCTTCCCAAGAAATGTAACCGCAGTGTTCCTGTTCTGTAGTGTGCCGCAAACTCCACCCCGCTGCATGGTGAGACCAGCAGCTGTTTGCGGTTTTACAGGATAAAAACCTGCCCTTTAGCTGTTAGGCGCGCAGTCTTCCATATTGGCTATTGGAGGCTTGCATCGTCAAGCCTGCACTTTAATAAATAATTTTTTCCTTTCCAAATTATTTTCTCTGGCTCCTTCATACCTTAGGAAGCGGGGGACCACCACAAAGATCATATCAGGGAAGAAGCTCAGCGAGCTCCTCCAGAACCATGGCAGAGAACCAACAGCACCAAACAACAACTCTTTCTCTCCAGGTGTCATTTCTATGAAGTGTCCTGGGGGGGGGGCCCTCCGCACCCAGGACCGGGCTGATTCAGTTCAGCTGGACTTTAAGTTGACCATCAGTTTTCAGTTCACCACAGCAGCCTCGTTCAGATTCACTCATTCTATAATAAAATTAAAAAGTGACTTATTCCCCAGGAAATAGACAACCCGGCAGGACAGGAGGCACCTTTGAGTTGTCTAATGTTCTATCCAGAGAGCCCAGAACAAGTCCTTGGCCGCTCAGTAAACGGCTTATTGACTGGTTAGATACATTTATTCACCAGGTAGATGCTTATCAGAGATGACAGCTGACTTTTAATTATCCTTCCTCTTAGCCTGTGGCTCTCAGCTCTACCCAAGAAAATATTAGAGGCTCAAGTTAAAAATAGGGATGCCAAAGCAGTGACTCCTGCAGATGGAAAAGCAGGAATCTTTAGAATTGGTCCTTTTGCTGTCACTGTGAGAAAACTGGGGGACTAGGGGTCATCAAAACGCACAATGTCAGAATTGTTTGTCACGTACTGCTACAAAGGAATGGAGGACCTATGCGTGCTTCCCACGGCCAGCCAATCTGCTTCACAGGTCTGTGTTGGCCCCAGGAGTGGCTGATTCTGTGGATACCAAACACACACCTCCTGCGCTGCTCAGGAAGTGACCTCTGAATTCTGCATGGCTCCTCCCCAAGTGTGCGTTGCTACAGCAGGTGCTAACCCTTTTACTGAGTGTCCAAGGGAGAGAAGAGATTTGCAAAAGGACTCAAACTCAAGGCCCTCCCATTACTGCCTTTCTGAAGCCCAGCCTGATTTCTCCAGATCTCAGAGGGGCCCTGTCTTTGAGCTAGAGGGCTTTTTTTTTTTTTTTTTTTTTTGCCCCCGCATTTATTTGCAGCCATTTATTTGCTAAGGTAAATCTAACCAGATAAGTCACCCATTGGGCATCTGCAGGCCCAGCCTCGAGGTACCTGTTACGGAACCGCTATACTCCTGGAAAAATGCATCTGTCGTGTAATTTTAATAGTTACCACGGAGCCCCGAGCTGGCTCACCACAAAGAAATTACAGGAGTGATCTGGGGAAGTCTTTCAGCCAATAAAGGATTTATCTGCAGTAAGTGACAACGTTTATTTTTATTTTTAACGGAGCTGGTTGAAGCATGCAAAAAATTTAAATATTCTTCATCACTAGTAAGGACTTTAACGCTAGCAAATACGCTAGGCATCTTTTTCTCCAGTTTTCCAGTGGAGCCTATTTTAGCCTAGATCTAAAAGTAAAGTACTTTCTTACCAATGGATTCATTTTAACATTGTTGTGGAAATGGCTTTTCTTGTGCGCCTCAGGGCCACTACGGGTTAGTGTCTTGAACAGCTAACATGGGTTATTTGAGATACTGTCCTGCTTTCCAGAAGAACTATTTGTCATGTTGCTAGAGGAAGCCCAACTCCTCCCACTGAGTTACAGGCCCTGAGGATTTTGCTCAGCAGACTCAGCAGGAAGACAATGGGGTGCATTAACCCATCCTCAGTTAGCTAACCGCTCTGCTGAGCATCCCTAACTGTTAATTGCTGTCTGTTGAGAGCTTAGTCAGGGTGATCTTCTGTATTTCTTAGATTCAGTTCACTTTTTCCGTATGTTAAGCGGTAGGCATGTTACTATCCACAGTTTAGTGGGAGGAGAAGGGCCTGCAGTATCTTACCCAACGCTGCCCAGAGTCATCCAGCTAGGAAAGGGCCAAAGCTTAGATGTGAGCCAGGTCCACTTGAATCCAGAAACCAAATTTAGCCGTCACGGTGAAGATGGTTTCTCATTTTAACATGGCAGTTTTCAGCATCAAACATCTCACCGACTACACTGGCAATTAAACTATCTCTTGCAAAAAAAATGAGTCCCTCAGCAGTAACCTTTGGTACACAAACTCGTAAGTTGCATCAACAATCAAAGCCTTATTTGATGATGTATGGGGTAGGGCTGATGAGGGGGAGGGTGATAGTTAACTGTTGATTTGAATAAAAAATACCCAGCTAAATTGAATTAGCGTAATTCAGGGTGTGGCTGGAGGGATTGCCTGAAAGCAGAGACCCACCTGGGCATGAGTGGCATCCACCAATAGGCTTGCTGCCTGAATGGACGCAGAGGGAGGGGAGAAGGAAGGCTGCTTCCCTTTCTTCAGTCCTGGCCCTCGCCCCGGACGCCCTGGACGTTGTCTCTTGGCTTCAGCCCTGCACTGCAGGCTGTACAGCTGTAGACCTCTGATGCAGACGCATGCAGGACGCTGCACAGAGCTGCAGGCCTCTGACTGGATCCCTCCCATCCCCAGTGTGCAGACAGCCCCTCCACTCTCCTCCCTGCCTGGCTCTGCAGGCGGCCATTGTGAGTCAGCCTTGTAAGCTCTTACATATTTGTGTATCTTGCTTTAAATCTGCTTCCCTAGTAAGCACTGCTTGCTGCAGGGGATGGCGTTAATCTGCTTAAATCCCATTTATACTGCCAGGAGTCTGGTGTGTTAGACACCTGGGTAATCACCCAGGGGGCGTCCTCCAAAAATATATGACTTGGTTTTGCAGCCAACCTTGTCCTGTATTAACATGGATCACACTGCATGAATCCTAATCTCCTCTCTAAATCAGTATCTTGCCAGGGGAGCGCAGGAAGTGATCCCTGCTGACTGACACTACCTCCCCCTTGTCTTACACCATTCTGGATGTGTGGCGCACAGACCTGATTAAAATCTGCTCAAATACAGTACTGGAGATACAAAGTCCAGCTTGTAGAACTGCCCCTCGGTGTTTAAAATCTCCCACAGAAAAGTGAACTTTTTCAGAATACTTGGTGAGTGTGAGTTATTGCTAAGCACTGGAGTACCTTAAGCTTTTGTTCCGAGTGGAAAAGAATTCTTTGGGAGGGGTGATCATGCACTTGCTTGAATGTCCTGAGGTCTAAGATCCATTTCTTATTGGCACTGTGACTTTAGCAAATAATGATGCCCCTTATCCATAAAGAGGAGATGATACAGTCCATTGTCATTGGGGGAGAGGTGATATCCATAAATGGCACCAGGGGCCTTTTGTAACCAAGCAAGGCACTATTCACAGGAACCCTTCATTAAGAATGGCTGCTCCCGGAGACCTGAAGAGTCCGTTTGCAGGGGCAGCTGGTGGGGTAGGGAGGAATGCAAGAGATGCTAGCTGAGCTTCAGACAGCCAGGAGGAGGGGTCAGAAGTGTCAGCCTCACAGCACTGGAACAGAGCTTAGTGTACAGATAGTAACCATTGGTGTCTTACTGATTTGATGCTAGGCAACAGGTGCTGCTTTGTTTATTGTGGTCTTAAAATGATGTTTTTTGTTTGTTTTTATTTAAAGAGAAAAACAAAACTAAATGAAGCAAAACAGTAAAAGGCTAGAAGTAATACAGAATTTCAAGAGAAAAAATATACAGTAAGAATTCACCAGTTAATAGATCACATATTGTCATCTTAGAAACAGTTGTCCAGATTACAAAATTAAAGGATACAAAGTGGACATTAATACAGTGAGATTGCAGTCAGTTCTGTTCAATGATCCAAGAAAAACTCAGCAATATGGTTCTCTATCCTAAACATTTAAATATACTTGCAGTTATATCCTTTAGATCACTTTCCTTCCTCTCTTTTTTACGCTAACAATCACACATTTTGGTTTCCATTACTCTCACAGTTTTTATAACTTTTCCTTTGAAGAGGAAAAGAAAAAAGATTTTTTAAAAAGCCAAAAAACAACAAAACAAAACAAGACGGACCAAAGAAAAACCCAATGTGACAAAGCAAAACAGAGTCAGTTAGATCAGGAGGATGGACATAGTATATAATGGAAAAAAAAAAAGGATTACTAGGTGATCAACAATGGTTACCATTATGCCTCTTGTTATGCTAAAAAGAGTGGCCTATATCAGCTGGTATAAAAGAGTTGAACAAAATTGTACAGAAGACCAATAAAACCCACGTTGGAAACCTTACACGACTTCCAAAGAAGATAATAGTCAAACAATAATGGGCATCATAGAATATCTGGTTGCCTTCCAAACGGTTGCCTATACCCTCAAACTTGATACTATTAAGCAAAACAGAATATAATAAAATCAGTCAGAACAAGATGTGGAAAACAATACAGGGGTTGAAATCAAGTTAATAGGGAAACAAAAAAAGTTATTATAATCTATCACACTTTTTAATTAAGTTTTCCCTTAGTTAAAAATATACTAAGGGAATAAATAATATACTAAGAAATAAATTAATTTTTAAAAAAAGGAAAGAAAAGGGGGGAGATTGAGATAAAAAAGAACATATCAATAGAACAACACCATTCAGAACCGAAAAATTTAAGCATCGTGTTTCACCCCCACATAACCTGACATTAATAGTAGTTACCATAGTGATTCTTTCCTTGAAATATTTAGTCTAACTTCGTATACTATAGCATCAAACTTATCAAGACAGCGTGAAACCGTTCAAGAGAATGAAATTATTGCAGGGTATTTAGAACCAGCTAGCAGAAACCGAACATCAATTTCTATATTATCTCTTTGTCTATAAAAAATTTGCTTATACTATTGCATACATTAAGATATAATAAGATACAGCATGTTAGAACCAATGGAAACAAATGAACAACAACTTGATGGGGCTTCAAAACAGGATGATATTAAATCAGTGTTAGCTATTACGCTCTTATTTTCTTCAAAATAGTTATTTGTAGTATCACAGACAATAAAATAAAACAACCCAGATTGAAACCATTGCAATTAATAAGTGAAAACATTATATGGCTTCAAACCAGTGTGACTGGGAATCATGATTACCACGTACTTTCATGTATTCTTATCGTGTCTTACACTAGGGAAACTATTCGGTATTTATATAGGTGAGTTTGATTTATTTCACTTATGAGTATGGTCTCAAGCTGCATCCATTTATTTATAAATGTCTCAGTCTGATGATTCTTTATAGCTGAGTAGTACTCCATTGTATAAAAATACCACATCTTTTTTATCCATTCCTCAGTTGATGGACACTTAGGTTGTTTCCAAGATCTGGTGATTACAAATTGTGCTGCTATAAACATGGGTGCACATATATCACTGTGGTATGATGCTTTCAGTTCTTCTGGGAATATGCCTAGAAGTGGAATAGCTGGATCAAATGGGGCTTCCAGTCCCAGCTTTCTGAGAAATCTCCAGACTGACCTCCACAATGGTTGCACCAGTCTACACTCCCACCAACAGTGCAGGAGAGTTCCTTTTTCCCCACAGCCTCTCCAGCATTTGTTGTTGGTGGTTTTCTTGACTTTCGCCATTCTTTCAGGAGTGAGATGAAATCTCAGTGTGGTTTTAATTTGAATTTCTCTAATGACTAATGATGATGAACATTTTTTCATATATTTATTTTCCGTTTGTATTTCTTCATCTGAAAATTGTTTATTCATCTCAGATGCCCATTTTTTGGATGGGGTCTTTGAATTTTGGGGGTCTGTTTTTTTTAATTCTTTATATGTTTTAGACAGAAGTCCTTTGTCTGAGGGGCAGTTCACTAGGATTATTTCCCAGTTCGTGGGTTTTCTTTTCACTATGTTAGAGATTTCTTTCAATGTGCAGAAACTTTTTAATAAGAGGTGGTCCCAGTTATTGACTCTGGGAAGTATTTCCCGTGCGGTTTGAGTCTTGTTCATGAATTCTCTACCTACCCCTATGTCTTCAAGGTTTTTACCCAATTTGTCTTCCAATAGATTTAGTGTTTCTGTTTTAATATTTAGATCTTTGATCCATTTAGATTTTATTTTAGTATATGATGACAGGCATGGGTCTAGTTTTAGTTTTCAGCATATGGAGAGCCAGTTTTTCCAACACCATTTATTAAAGAGACTGTCATTCTTCCAGTGAACGTGTTTGGCCCCTGTATCAAAGATGAGGTGGTTGAGTGTGCTTGTACTTGTGATTGTATCTTCTGATCTATTCCATTAGTCTTCGGCTCTGTTTTGATTCCAGTACCATGTTGATTTTAGTACAATTGCTTTGTAGTATAACTTCAAGTCTGGGATTGTGATACCTCCTGCCTTACCTTTGCTGCTTAGAACTGTCCTTGCTATTCTAGGTCTCTTCTCACTCCAGATGAATTTTAGGATTGATTTCTCGAGATCTATGAGGTATGTTGATGGTATTTTTATCGGGATTGCATTGAATCTGTATAAAAGTTTTGGGAGAATGGCCATTTTTACAATGTTTATTCTTCCTATCCATGAGCAAGGGATGTCTTTCCATTTTCTCAGATCATCTTCAATTTCATTTTTCAATGTATTATAATTTTCCCTGTATAGGTCTTTCACTTCTTTTGTGAGAGTAATTCCTAAATATTTCATTTTCTTGGTTGCTAGTGTGAAGGGTGTGGCTTCTCTTATTTCTCTCTCTGTGATTTTGTTGCTAGTGTATAAGAATGCTATTGATTTTTGAATATTGATTTTGTATCCAGCCACATTGCTGAATTTATTTATTATATCTAGGAGTCTTTCAATGGAGTTTTGGGGGTCTTCTATGTAGAGTATCATGTCATCTGCAAATAGTGATAATTTAACTTTTCCTTTCCTATCTTTATGCCTTTTATTTCTCTTTCATGTCTAATTGCTCTGGCTAGTATTTCCAGTCCTGTATTAAATAGGAGCGGTGACAGGGGACATCCTTGTCTTGTGCCTGATTTTAAAGTAAACTCCTTCAATTTTTGGCCATTTAGTATGATACTGGCTGTTGGTTTGTCATAGATGGCCTTTATTATGTTGAGGTAAAGACCATCTATTCCAATTTTCTGTAAGGTTCTTATCATAAATGAATGTTGTACCTTATCAAAAGTTTTTTCTGCATCTATAGAAATGATCATGT